GCTCCGTGTTCCCCGTCCACGGTTCTGCCCCGAGACAGGACTGTCTCCCCCGCCCCTACCTCCGGCTGTGAGCCGGTCAGACAAGAGAAGGAGGAGGCAGCCACGACACCCCCTTTTCACCAGAGTGAAGACGGTGCAAAAGGCGCCAGACTGGCTGCCGACAGTGGGTCCCGGCCCACCGCGCCCTCACCTCTGCACCCGCTCCACCAGGTGGGCCACCAGCTTGTCTGAGATGCCAGGGCAGGACTCCTCGGCCAGGCTGAAGGCGTTCTCCAGCTCCTCCAGCGCCCCCGCGCGCCCGCCGCTCTGCCTGTGCTTCTCCTTGAGCTGTGGGGCACACGCCGCTGACCGCCACGCCCCACCCCCCGGAGCCAGCGCCACTCCAGGCGGGACCAAGGACGGGGGAGGGGCAGTGCTAGTGGTCGAAGAATCTGCAACCACGCGGGGGATGGCCTGGGAGCCCCCCTGCTGGACCCCCGCACCTCAGGCCAGGCCGGGGAGGGCCGCTTCCCCCATACTGAGGTCAGAGGTCAATCGAGGGGTCCCGAGACCCAAAACAACATACAAGCCAGCAAGCACCAGCGTGCATGGCAAGGACAAACCCCGGGCGGGACTGGGGGGCCGCATGCACCACGATCGGACCTGCGGGGCAGACGGCCAGTCCCACCAGCCATGGGCCAACGGGCTTCCGCAGTGCTGAAACCGGTCCTTCCTTAACCCAGAGCCTCATCTCCCTGTGTGCCACCCACCCGACCCTGGCGTCTGGTGAGGCACCCACTCAGGCACCAGGGCGAGGACACAGCAGTGAGCTCACCTAGCGGGGAGGGTTAGACAGGTAGCAGGTAGGCAGGTTCACTGAGTGCTCCCTGACTACGGCCCCAGCCCTACCCCCTCTTCAAGGCCATCCCTGAGGGGTCCCGACATGTCCCCAGGCCCCCCACCCAACATCTGACAAGATCAGGACCCCAGGCCGGGCCCAAGCCAGGCGACAGGCAGTGGGGCTCTGTGAGGGTGTTGCCTCCCACCGTCCTCATCACACACAAAGTGCAGGGGTGGGGGGACACAGCCAGAGGTGCCCGGCGGCCAGCAGCACCTCCGAGGGCAGTGACACGTGAGACTCCAGCAGCCCTGCCCCCTCACACGACTGCTGAGGGGCAGGCCCAGAGTGGGAGGAGGGCAGCGGTCCCTGCACCTCCAAGGCCCAGCCTGGCCCAGTATCCCCCGCAGCCCTCGCCTACCACACCCTGCCCCACCCCCAACCCCCCAGCCCTACGTCCTTTCCAGCCCCGGGTGTCAGCACCGAGCCCCAGCAGGCCCTGCTGCGCTGCCTCAGGTGCCCACAAGGCCGCCAGGACACCCTGTGCACCTGCAGGGCCTGGCCCGTGTCCAGCCCCCAGCCCTTCCCTGGAGGCGACCCTCCAGCCGCAGGTCTTTGAGCACGCTCCTGCCTCCCACAGGCCCACGCTCTCACGGGCATCCCCGCCCCCAGACGACCGCTGCCCTCCTCCCCCAGTGCTGTTGGCCGGGAGACGGGCTGCTGGAGAGCTGCCATTTCCAGATC